TTTTAATGGAGGATCTAAAATTATACAAATACTTCTCCTGCTTCAACACTCATTATGCAAGTCAATTAACAATTCATGGTTTAATACCAAGGATCTACAGGAGATAATTGTACATAGATTGATCTCTTAGCATATCTAAAGCACTTTTAGAATCACAATTTATTTTAATTGTTACTCTTGTGACAAGATTTGAACCTTCATGAGAACTTGGAATAAAATTGATGTATAAATATAATCTAAAAAAATTCTATTGCTAATGAATAAAATTGTAAATAAATTGTTAAAAAATTACATCTAAAATATCTACAGAGCAATTATTATATCAAAATAGCACAACAACCGTACATAATAAAATTATTGCAGAAAAGATTTTAATGTCCATGGCTATAAGACCCATGAGAGCAGAAAAAATTAGAAAGACAAAAATTTGCAATATGTTCTAATTGCACATTATTACCAATTATTTGTGGCTTCTAAGCCTAAATAAACTAAAAGCTTTGCTATAAACTTACTTTTATAATATTAGATGCTGGTGAGCGTTAGGGCTGGGCTTACGCCTGCGAAGTGGGTAAGGTGATGCGACAGTCCGGTGCGGGGCCGTTCCCATTTACGGCAGTCTGGTGCGGTCTGCGGTCCTTGTGGCTTACGGCATTTGTAAGAAGTGATGGTATGGGCTTAAATCATTGGTGTAGGAGCTATTGGGCGTAATCCGTTTGTAGTATCAGTTTGTGGGATGAGGCATTGCTTGTTTGAGTTGTTTCAAGTTCAAGCTGGTGTGGCAAGATGAGGCAAGTAAGAACAGCTGCATAGGTATTAGACTGACTTTTTCTATTGCATGTAGAGGGTTGGCATTGGCTTTTGGGCTGATTTAAGAGTCAAATTTTTGGGCTACGGCAGCGCTCCCGTTCGCCGCGATTTGCGGCTCCCTGAACTGTGAACTGTGTGAAAGAGGTGTGAACTATGAAGGCCCCGACCCCCCGTAGAAACTAGAACCTAGAACGGGCTGCAAGATTTCACATAACATATTGATCTCGGCACTGAAGTGTAGGCCTGATGTGGCCTGTCGCCGATTCTTTTCCTTTTCATGCCTTGTTCACAGAAGATCTAATATCGTTTCATTTGACCGGATCTTTTCATGACTGACGATAGTTTCAACTTTCAAGTAGCTACTAGACTTCCACCGGCTTCGATAATCGATATGGTGCTAGGCATTTCAAATCTGAACATATATTTTTCCATAGCTTTATCTAGCCTAGTCTGTTCTTGAACGCGTTCATACTTGGAGCACCAACGTCAACGATGTCATTGGGGAATGAGGAGGCTGTTCCACATGTCGGTGATTCAAAGCGAGAAGAAATTTTGTCGTGTGGAGAAGTTGCAGCACAGTTTTTTTAGTTGAGACTATCGAGAAAGACGACAATTTAGCATTATTTATTTATTTAGCAACAAGGTTCTAGTGAAATATTTCAGTTTTTTAATCCTTGCAGGCTGCCAAAAACTTCAGGCAAGAACATTTTTGGGTACCTAAATAGTTTTGGCAGGCCACAGGAGACAGGAGTGTAAGTGCTAGTGGTAACATTAACAGTAACTTCCAAGTTCTAGGTAATTAAACCATATAAATTCAAACATAGCGGTAAACCAGAATTTTTTTAGTATCAGTTCATTTTTAATTTCCTCGTATCATCAATATTTTAATGAATTTCTTATGGGCCTATGGGCTATGGCTGATAATGCTGGTATCATAATCCAAGAAAGTTATTACTTACTAACTAGGGTAAACGCGGTATATTCCGACATCGTAGGTAATTCCGTCACTTCTCTAGTTTTTCCTTTATATTAAGCTTTGTTTTAGTTCCATGCGTTCATTGATGGTTGAAATGGTGACGTCATACTCTTAATGTGTCGGAATATACCGCGTTTACCCTACCTACCTGTAGAGGCTGTAGTCCACTTATTATTATGGTTTTAGGACTTGAAAATTAACTTAAAAAAGGGCAATAAAAAAAGTTTTTTTCCATTATGTTAATGATTAGGGTTTAGAGACTAGCTATTTAGGGTCACACTTAGAAGCTGAAGGCAGCAAGGGTGCTGAAGACAAATTTTGATTTTCTTGTGCCCAGGCTGGAATTCTAAGAATGGAAGTTCACTTAGAAAAAAGCTTTCCACCCAAGGTAAAAAGCTTTCCTTGGATACAGTGCTCTGCCAGCCTGCCAGGAGACTGACTATAAATGAAAAGGAGGATCTCAAAATGTTTCAATTGTATACCTAGTACATTAGATTTGTAATAGAATTATTTGGATATCTCTTGTTTGATAGATATTTTTTATTTGTCTTGTATTTAATGGATTTTTAAAAAAATTCCAGGCCTTTTGTTTGTAATGATCAAGTTTCAGTTAAGTAAACCAGTACTGTAGTACATATACCATACTTGGGGGCAGGGCTTATGGGCACAACCAATCACAGCTTGAAAGCATCCCCATCAACCAATCACAGCTTGAAAGCATCCCCATCAACCAATCACAGCTTGAAAGCATCCCCATCAACCAATCACAGCTTGAAAGCATTTCCATCAACCAATCACAGCTGGAATTCTGGAAAGGGATAGGATATGTAAATAATGGACTGAAAGTGTAAAGTTCCTGGCCTTTCCATTTTACAGGTCCTGCTTTCCAATATGCTATGTGTACTGGTTAATTTATTATCCCTCTAGAATTCCACACTGCTTGCGCCTGTTCTTGTGCCGTGTTCTGCGCCTGTTCTGCAGCCTTTCAGACAGGATTACATTGTATTTTCCTCATCAATGCTGTGTGTTTTGCCTTCTTGTCAAGTTGTCATCAGGTTGATTGAGCTTACATCTTTTAGCTGGTCCAAATCCAGTAGATTGCATTGATACTGCTCGTTTTTTTGCTGGCCCACTGTGCAGAGAGTGGATGAATATTGCAAGATCTTTGGCGACACTTCAGTAGCAAAATTTACGCCTTCAGAAGATCTTGCCGACACATTTAGATTGAAATTCTTGCATTTAATATATTTGTCAGTCTTTGGCCAACTATTTAAAAATAAACTAAAGTTTCCGATATGTTGGATGGATAAGGATGCAGTGAAGCTTGTCTGGAAATCAGTTGCAATGAGTTCCTGCCAAAAAAATGTACTCAGTGTAAATGGCTTTTCATTAAAAATTACCCGGCTACGCATCTTAAAATTACCCGGTGATGCTTAGGGCTTAAAAACCCATATATTGGCAATGCTGCATCTACCCTCTGCGCCCTGGTTGCTGGCTTACCAAATTGGTTCGATTTTCTTTCATACTCTGTCAAAGTCCTCGGAGTAGAGGGAACAAGGCTGTTGTTCTTGTTCAGAGTCAGACTCAGTCAATTTGTCCAATGTGCTCAGCTTGATTGATGATCTTGTCACTCCTTTTGGTGGTTCCTTAGCAGGAGTCAGGAGATTTTTTTATGCTTCTTGCCATTCTTACTCTTATCACTACATCCAAAGGCATGAAGGAAGCTCCAAATTGACACCCAGTTTTTCTTCTTACTTTGTTGCAGGTGTGCATACACTTGTGATGCTGGTATCTTATGTATGGCTGAACTTTTTCTTGATGCTGGTATCTTATGTATGGCTGAACTTTGTCTTTGTCACTTGTTGTGGAGATTGTTTCATTAATGAACTTGATGTCCAGCATGTTCCCAGGGTGGTCAAAATTGAATTTCGTTATGTGTATTATTCATTTGTTATGTCAATTATTTATGATGGCCGAGACCAAGACCTGTGTAATGTTACATGTTTTTGAAAAGGCCAATCTTCAACCTATGTAAAACTACAATCTAAATAATGACACGTTTTAAAGTATCTTTAAAATCTACAAAAACGTGAAGTCATGGACAGACATGTCAAGCACAATAGCACCTTTATTTCCATGAATGAGAAAATGCGCTAAAAATGGTGCAGAAAGCCAGAAGAGAAATGTGAATTTAATATTTTTTTGTTTTTATAGCTTTTGCTTAATTTTAATTAGGAAAAATTGACGAAAAGGATTCATGTTTGCTTATCATTTTCAAAATTGCCAAAAAATAATTTTTTTCACCTACAATATTTCATATATTCTGCCCTATATTCACAATTAGGACAATAACTTTTGGAACGTTCAGTTGCATTTTTCAAAAGTTACAAGCTAAAACTATCATTTTACAGTCAAATTTTTAAAACTGGAAGCAAAAATGTAACTTTTTTTTTGTAGAATAAATTAGGCAAGAGTCATAAAAATGGGTGAAATTGACTGCAAAAAAGCTGGTTTGTCCCATTCAATATTTGGCTTCTCCTAATTTTATAGAATAGAGCAACACTAAATGCATACTGCAGGCAGTTAAATACCGTACACTAATAGCACCATCAGTGCTGGAATTGGACTAAAATATATAAAATTGTAAGCTTAAAACTTTATTTGCACAAGAAGATTCTATTACAAAACAGACCTCTTGACCATGAATTTCAATACAACGCCTGAACAAATGCCTTTTTCCTCCTGTTTTCTAGCCTTGATTACACTCCAGTCTCCACCCTGTTGTATTACATGCCACACTGCAGCCACAGCACTGTCAGCATCAATACATATAGGTATTTTTCTTATGTTATATCTTCCTGGAATCTTCTCCTTATTGTCACATAGAAAATTTCATGCTAGATTCATTCTTGCCAATTTTAACAGCCATAATGAATGAAGTTCGGCTATAAAGCAGTAGTCCTATCACTCATAAGCATGAATTGGTCACTGAATCTGAACTAGAAAGCCTTTCTAAATTCAATACCTACATACTGGTCAATTAGTATTGATTTCTGAACAAGAGGAGGTATCTGTTGAACTCAAGTGTATCATGCCAGACAAAATCTCTGAATTTATTTTAAATTCTTGTCAGTTGTATATATACCTACCTATTAAAAGTAGGCCATATATCCAATCTTAAATTAATAATGCCAACACTCTGTAACGTACATACTTTTTACTCATTTGCTATTATTTATCACCATTTGTCTGCCTTATGCCCTAACAAAATTACGATTGAATTGTAATGGAAATTCATTTTTCTAATTTTAAATTCAACATATTCTTTACTTTTCTAATTTTAAATGCTCTCAATTTTAAGCAAGAGCTTTAACAGTATGATCACAATTGCAATAAATCATTCCCAAGCTAGTCTTACATACTTGTGTTTAATTTATTTTTTTTTCTTTGCAGTTCACCACATTCTTGTAGCTAGCATTAAGTTGAGCTAGGACTGTTACAAGTGTACACATGAAATGGGAGAAAGGTAAGATATATATTTCATGATGTTATCTTATTCATGTATATACATGTGCTCATGGTATTATTTTCCATGAAGTTTAAAATTTTTGTAATGAGCACTTTCTATTCTGCGTTTTGTTTACTTATTAGTTGTGCTTTCATATAATTTATAATAGTGACTGTGTGATATTGTGACTATAATGACACTATTATAAATTATAAATGTAGCAAAATAAATATAGTGACTATTGTGAAATTACTTTTTTATCAATGATTGTGTGAAATTTTTCTGTTTTATCCTAATTCTAACATTTTTATTTGTTTAGTCGACATGTATCATCCATGAAGGTGGTCCTGCCTGGGGATTTGATCATGGAACTTCCTGTGAAGCCGGTCGATACAAGTGAAAACGTCTTCCTTGGTCCTGGACTACGATGGAAAGATGGAGTTGTTAGAGCCACACGTCCTGGAATTCTGAAGAAAGATAGTAGGAATTTATACTTTATTGAAAGCCATCAGAAAAGGTACATTCCTCAGAAAAGAGAGTTTGTTGTTGGAACTGTGATAAAAAATAAAGGTAACTCTTATCTAGTGGATATTGGTAGTCATGAACCAGCAACCATTTCATTTTTGGCTTTTGAAAATGCATCCAAAAAAACACGGAAAGATCTCAGGCTGGGTGACCTTATCTACGGTCAATTATTGGTAGCAAATAAAGACATGGAACCTGAACTTGTATGCATAGATTTTTACAACAGAGCTGTTGGGATGGGCACCCTGCCTGACGGTGGCCTGCTGTTCAAAGTCCCTTTACACGTGGCGAGAAGCTTAGTAAATCCTTCCAATCCATTCTTGTTAGAGCTTGGAGCTCGCTTATCTTTTAGCATTGTTGTTGGTTTCAATGGACGAGTGTGGGTGAAAGCCAAGAACATGGCAGACATGACCAGCGTGATGCACGCAGTGTCGTTGCTCGAGTGTATGAGTACAGAAGAAGCTCTCATTAAAATGCATTCTGTTATTGATTCAGTGCTTTCCCAGTGCGCTGTGGACTAATAGCTGTAGTGTTTACCCAGTATCGATTTTGTATTAATAAATGAATTTATTCATTTTGCATACTTTGTCTATTTTTCCCTTCATGGATCTCCTTTATACATTCTTCTTACCAGTATTTCTTGGTGTCAATGAGATTTATTGATTTACAATTAATAATAATGACTTGAACGGGAAATGTGTTTCAGAGTTAGTATGAAAATTAATAACTACCTGTCGGAAAATTCATTGAATTCAAAATATGTTCCAGAAATTGTTTCATCTTTTTTATTAGGCTTATTACACTCAACAATTCTTCAGCGGTTAGCTCCTTTTGTCCTTTGATGTATAATGAGCTGCAGTCAGGCCTCTGCACTGGAAAATCTACCGTCAATGCGGATTCTCACCTCATCACTTGAGTTTTTTTCTATTGATCTATTTTTATTAACAAAACAATCGCTTGTTTCAAGCGCCATCTAAACAGCTTCGTAGTCATGTGGTTACCAAACCGTACAAATCGTAGTTTTGACCCGGTTTTTTGATTCGGTTTTTAATGACAAGCTGCGAGGTACGAGTGGCGACGTATGCGTCATTGACAGTAGCTGTCTAATGTATTATGGATCCTAACATGATAAAGTTGAATGCTATTTGTTTTATTCTTGTCAAGCTTTCATATGTTCTTTGTAAACTAAACATGATCAGTAAAATGTGCTATTAAGACTAAGAACGTGGGCTCCATCTTGTAACAGAAAACGTAGTGCTGTTCAACATATTTTAATGAATATAACTATGCCTATGACAAAAATCTTATACAAATTAAATGTAAACCCATCCTTTGAACCAAATTTATCATTCTTTGAGTACAAAAATAAACTGTTACACTCTGACTTCAATTTGGTTTGAATCCGATGTCAAAAACTAATAATATTCATAAATATTTTTGAAAATTGAACATAAAATAATGAAAAGCAATACTACAAAAAATGTGACTTTCTTCATGATATAAAAGCTTTTGATCACAATCACTAATGACAATTTTGACGCAAATTTAGCCAAATGTTTTGATACTAGATTATGATCAATTCATTTGTTCCCCAAAAATAAATGCATATATATTAAAAACTATAATCTCATTTCAAAATTCGTGACCGTCAATCGAGATGGCGAACCACCAAGCAGACTAATTGAATGTTTAACCACAACATCATATGGTTACGGGAGCCGATCCAAGCCTAGAATAATTTAATCTTTGTATTGTCGTCGCATAGGACCCATAAGTTTTTTTACCAGTTTTTTTAAAGTTTTTTTTTGTTTTACCATCAAGCGCTGTTTACTGCTAAGTATCCAGACTGGTAAAACATTTTTCCTCGAAAATGAAAATCTCACGATGCTATACATTATCCGAGTGTTTTCAGGTATAGTTAATAATATGTCATGCATCATAAGTGAAAATCTCATTATAAATGCCACAGTAACATCTCCTTTGAAAATTACTTTATGAATCACACCCTAAAAATGATGAATCACTTGATAAATCACACCAGTTCACTTACTGAATTGCATTTTTGTGAGAAAATGAAAATATGAACTAATCTGCAGAAGAAAACAAGGCTATTTAAGAGCAAATACGCGCATAATGCGCAGCGTTTTTAAGGATATAATGATGTTTTAATATGATTGTGCCATTTTTCAGTAGTAAATAAAAACCGCGGTCAAAAATGTCAGTGATGATTAATGTCACAATAAGAGGTTACTTGGAGTGAAGGCTGAGGAATTGAAAGATCTAATACCGCGCATGTCGAGAAAAGCGATCTAAACGTGTGAAATTTCAGTCTGCAAGCAGCGAAGAAAATTCAAGCAATGTTTCATACAGGGAAGACAGTTGAAAATAATTCTGACATGACAAAAGTTTACAAGTCTATAGAAGACTGTTACAATTACAATAAAGAGCTTGCATACTGACGAACAATGAAGACTTCAACAATCGCTCTAATGTTGATCTAAATGTCTATGATAGTTAAAACAATTAGTTCTACTGTTGAGTGAAACGACCATGAAAACGCCAACAGGAACATGAGAGGTTAAATGTTGAAGACCAGTAAAAAAAATGAATATCAGATTTAAAGGCGGTTGTCGGATTAAAAAGCAGTTAAATTAGCAGGCGGTGAGTAGACAACACTTCTGGTGAGCCACCACATGAACAGCGGCTGCAGTAGCGTCAGGAAGACGACCAGGTAGAAGCGTCTCTTGCTGCCTTCACCGTAACTGCTGTACTTGTCATCAGCTCCAGGCTGGCTCTGGATCTGGCTACGCAGCGTGCGGAACTGTAAGGAAATTTTATGTTATTATCTGTTCATACAACAATATTTAGTATACAGCAAGTCCAAAGAATTTTTGTAATCTAGATTTGTTAATAACATGTACTAATTAACTCACATTTTTTCAATAAAAAACTGAATGTGACTGATACGTACATCATCAATATTACATTCATTCAACGATCAATGGATGTGCGATAATGAAGCATTAATATTTTCTGGAATAAATTATATTCCATGAATTTTTTTTTATTCCATGAAATTGAAGTTAACCAAATGCTCTCCAAACGAAACTAAGTTATATTTTGAATTTATTATTACGGTACGAGATTGTTATTTTAATGTAATTATTATCACGCCACAATTTACTTCACGTTCATGTTTCACTGCTAACAAGAGACGAATTATCGCACCACCCGATGTGAAAATACCAGCAAATTTCTGCTAAGGACATGAAATTGAACCGACCTATTTTTCAATAGAAATGTTGTCTAATAGAAACATATATGTCCTAATTCTAAACTGAATGACATGAATTGTGCTAAAAGGAAGATAAAAAAGTTCGAATTTCAGCGTTACTTCATAACTGAGTAGCATCCTGAATAGAAAAAATAGAAAAGTATGAAATACTTTTAATACTTGTCATCCTAAATAGAAAAAATAGAAAAGTATGAAATACTTGTTATAAATCTGCTGATTATAAAGAAATAAATCATCTTAAAAAAAAGAAAATTATGAAATAAACGTTACAAATTTACTGCATATAAAGAAATTGGTCATCCGAAAGAAAAGATTAGTATAAATTCCCGGTTGCAAATCAGAGTCAAGAACGACCAATAAGACTCAGGAACTGACCATGAAGAGCGCGAGGGCGGCACTGCAGTAGAACTGAGCCACGTAGTACCCAGAGCCTGGCAGCAGCATGCCGGCGGCCAGCATCACAATCATTCTGGACATGAGTTTTGCATCAGTACTCATCATTCGGAATAATTTGTTATCATTATTTCAGAACCAGGGAGCAATGCACTAAATGAGTAGGAATTGTCGAGCTGTTATCTAAATTAAAGGTCACTACAAATTCACATCATAGTTACATAGCTACAAGTAAGGTTTGATTTTAGCATCAAATTCAACGAAGTAAGGATATTCATGATCAATTAGCAGCTATAATGAACCCTTCAAAGAAAATTTATAAATTTGAAATCAAATCCTAACTTGGAAAATTTAAAAAAAAAAAGTTTTTGGTCAGTTCGAGTTTCACTTTTATTTACTGGCACTAAACATCTACCTACTTAAATTGAGTCCAAATTGAGAAAAAATCATCACTAGTGACACAATATTACCAGAAATTTTTTAAGTTTAGAAATTTTATTTCAGAAGGAAATAAGGAAATTAAGCCGTATTTACCCCGGGAATTTGTATCCTGCAAGCGCGAGCACGTGAAAGGCGTGTAGGGGGCGGCGCACCACAGCCCCCGAGTTGAGGTGTAGGGCGGCCATCACACAGCAGACCTCCAGCACAAGCCACACAACTGCGCTAGACGCTTGCATACCCAGGGCATCAGGGCTGAACCTGTGAATATAAAGATCCGTTTATTTATTTAGTTAAATGTGGAAAAGCACTTGACACCAATAGTAACTACCTTTCAGGTACATTCTTTTTTATCAATAAAATACAGTATCCATAATCCACACTTTACGTACCTACTTTATACTTTTTGACATAGATGAAAATGTACCTATTGCAAATAAGTACGACATTAATGTTATTGTATATTTGTAGATAGGAGTCAGTAAAGATTTTTTGGGCTATTTTGCTCATTGCTTGAAAAATTCAAGCCGTCTTATGACCTGATGACTTATGAAGATAGATTGGGTGATGAAGAGAGAGCAACAAAAATGCATCGTTTCTAACAATCTCGTTTGCATCAATTCCATAGCATGTTGTTCACAATTCTCTAAGATTTTGAAGATTTACACTGTAGTACATTTACAAACAATCCTCTGACCACAAAATCGCCTGCAAACAATCCTCTGACAGTCAACTCGCCTATAAACAATCCTTTGACCGTCAACTCGCCTGCAAACAATCCTTTGACCATCAACTCGCCTGCCAACAATCCTATGACCGTCAACTCGCCTGCCAACAATCCTCTGACCGTCAACTCGCCTGCTAACAATCCTCTGACCATCAACTCGCCTGCTAAAAATCCTTTGACTGCATACTTGCCTGCAAATAATCCTCTGACCACCAACTCGCCTTAACAATCCCTTGATTTGCCAGCAAATAATCCTCTGACCATTAACTTGCCTGTTCATAAGACCTAATGAGAGTCCGGCGACAAGGATGTACGTGACAAAGGCCATGGTGGGGATGTAGAGGTCCGGGGCGTTGACGTCATGCCTAGGCTGCACCTGAACCCCCTCACTCTGCTCAAACTGTACTGACCAGTCCTGGAAAATTTCTACCAATTATATTCTAACTCCAGCAGATGAGAGGAAAAATTTAGATGCAGCAAGTGCCGCAAAAAAAGGAGTATTACAGAAAAAATAATCACTTTGGCATGCATATATTTGTTATATTTTCAAGCAAGCGTTTCATATAAGCTCACTAGTTTTTTTATTTACATTTCCAGCTCAACTTAAGCAACTAAAACATTTCAAGGAATATTCATGTATCAGACTCAAACTAATTCAATGACCATCAGACATGGAGCTCAATTCACAGCCATTGGGGAACTGATGAAGAACTCAACATGTCAGGAGTAATGTGCAATTCATCATTTACACTGAGCATAAATATTAGCTGTTGTCAAATTATTTATGATCTTCATGAAAAATTTAGAAAGATAAAAATGTTCACATAATTTTTTTTTTTTGTCAAATGTTGCAGTTTACAATGAAAGTACAAAAATTAATCATTTCAATGCTTAGAAGTTTTCCAAAAAATAAATGCTGCCTGAATCTATTGATAAACAAACAAAAGGCAACATGTAAAATGATCTGAGATTAGGTGACTATTAAAGTAACGAGAGTAAGGTGAAATTCTGAGATTTGAATTTAGAGTATCAAAAAATAAAAAAAAAATAAAAAAAATGGTAGGAGCCATAAACTACTTACTGAATGAGCAAAAGGGAAGAAGATAAGCTGAATTTTTTTCATTACATATCGTGTGTCAACTGCAAAGTAGTATTTCACTTTAGACACACTCATGTACTTTTCCAAGTTTTGATCAATGAACTGTTGTCCTTGGCCAACAAGGTTTTGCCCATACTGCATGGCAGCATTAGCTATAAAAGGGTCTTTAATAAACTGTGCTGCTGGAAATGCAGCACTGCCAAGAGCAGAATTTTGTGGTGGCTGAAAAGAAGATTGTGGAGGCTGGAAAGGTGCTTGAGAGTAGCTTTGTTGAGGATGTGATTGTTGCGGATTGTTGTAGTTGTAGCTATTGCTGTAACCATTGCCACCACCATAGCCTGAAAAATAAATATTAATCAATTCCTGACATGATTCTGTTGAAAAAGATTACTATGGAAGCTCTTGAAGCAGATTTTTAATGGAGGATCTAAAATTATACAAATACTTCTCCTGCTTCAACACTCATTATGCAAGTCAATTAACAATTCATGGTTTAATACCAAGGATCCACAGGAGACAATTATACACAGATTTATCTCTTAAAATGTCTAACTCACTTTTAGAATCACAATTTAATTTTTGTTACTTTTGTGACAAGAATTGAAAAATTAGAATGACAAATAATTTGCAATCCATTCTAATTGTGCATTATTACCAATTATTTCTGGCTTTTAAACCTAAATAAACTAAAAGCTTTGCTATAAACTTACTTTTATAATATGATATAAAAACTACTTTATAACGAACTTACCCTGATGTTGATATTGATAACCCCCAGCACTTGTGTCATCAAAGAGCTGAGGCTGACGATGATGAGGATCTTGATCATCATAATTATATGGATACATATTTGATTTTAAACTTTTAAGGATTTGTTATATATTAGACTAATGTAATACCTAGAAAGAAATTTTGAGAAAAATGAGCTGTGTAGATGGAGCAGCAGTCTGGTATTGGGTGCATGAGTGTTAAGTATTAACAGTCAATGGTACAACACGTGTAAAATTCTAATTAAAATGCAGATAAGAAAGCACAATATTATGAGGTACTAGCCCTCACAAGACAAGAATGAAAGCCAAGGGGCAAGAGTGCAAGCCATACCAATATGGCAATGCTACAAGAAAATGTTCATGTAAAATAATTTGCTACGCTTCAGACACATTTTACATCAGGTCTCCAATTATACCCAGAAATTCACAAGAAATAAAAAATTCCTTGACTTTGGATGCAATCTAGAATGTGTTTATCTTGAAGAAGCGATGTGGATTTATTTATTGCAGTCTGACATTCTTCAAATATTAAATTGTCAAGAAAAATGTTGTGGGTTCATTGACAGTTAAATATACTTGGGCAGTAGCTTGGTCCTGAACTCCAGAAGTTCAAAATTTCTTGGAACAACACATTCAAAAGCCACCATGTTTCTGATGGATCCAAAATGCATGACTTGGGACCCTCAAGCTATCATTCTCGCCAAAATGATGTGATATTGTAATGGATGCCAGAAGCAAAGCAAGAAGGGGAGCTTTTGTCTTGTTCATGGGTCAACAATCGGCTTCTGCCTGATTTACCAGAATGGCTGTACAAGAACAAATACCTCTAGTCTAGTGCTACCTATACCTGCATCAGCATGGTGGCTAACAATAAACTTTTTCATTGACCTTCCCTGAGTAGCATGCTGGCAAATGAGAGGTTTCTGAAATTGATTCATTTATGATTTCCTGAACTATTTCAAAATTGTATACAATATCTATATATAAAAATGCTGGCATCTTTGAAACTATGTTGATCTACTTATAGGACTCAAAATGACCGCCAAAGTCAAAGTCTAAATAAGTCACTGCTTTGCCAGTATGATGAGAGAATGGGCCCACCAATATTTACTACATAAGATATTTAATAAAATTTTGAACTATTGTTGCTGCTACTAACTTTGCCACAGTATTTTCTTTATGTAGCCAGGCTTCAGTAGTAACAATTCATTTAGTTAACAAAACTGAGTCACAACTTCCCAGCATGAAAAAAGAAGCTTCTTAGTTATTATCTGGCAATCAAATCCTGCATGTCATAATTCAGACCAGTATTATATCATATTCAGTGTTTAGTGATGAGTGGTAGGTAAGATGAGTGCAGAACCTACAGAGGGGCAACTTATGGTTCATTGATGGCCATTCTGGAAAATCAGGCAGAATCTACCTGTGGACAAGATGAAAATGCCAATGTTTGCAGCCAATTTCACCCATTTTTAAAGCCTTGATGAGTGCAGAACCTACAGAGGGGCAACTTATGGTTCATTGATGGCCATTCTGGAAACTAAGGCAGAATCTACCTGTGGACAAGATGAAAATGCCAATGTTTGCAGCCAATTTCACCCATTTTTAAAGCCTTTGCCAAATTAATTGCATAAAAAAGTAGAGACATGGCAAATTTTTTCATGCAATATTTAAAAATATCCCATAAAACATAAAACCACAATATTCAGAAATTCTGCTTGATATTCTAGATAGGATTGATGGTAGATCAGGCAATTATAAATTAACCAAGCCCAAAAAATCATTTGTTTGCCACTATTATGCAATCTATAGTGTTCTAATGCAATCTCATGTTTTCTACTGCCTTCTACAGCCTTTTAATGCATGCTACGGCCTTGTCATGTGTTCTACTGCCTCTTAAAGCATTTTACTGCCTTGTTGGTAAGGTAGTAAGCTTGTATTGGTAAAATACAAGCTACTGCCTTCTAATGCGTTCTACTGCCTTCCAATGCATTCCACAGTCTTGTAATGCATTTTACTACCTTCTAATGCACTCTACTGCTTAGTAATGTGTTCTACTGCCTTGTAATGTGTTCTACTGCCTTGTAATGTGTTCAACTGCCTTGCAATGCATTCTACTGCCTTGTAATGTATTTCTACTGCCTTGTGATGCATTCTACTGCCTTGTAATATGTTCTACTGCCTTGTAATGTGTTCTACTGCCTTGTAATGTGTTCAACTGCCTTGGAATGCATTCTACNCCTTGTAATGTGTTCTACTGCTTTGTAATACGTTCTACTGCCTTGTAATGTGTTCTACGGCCTTGTAATACATTCTACTGCCTTGTAATACGTTCTACTGCCTTTTAATACATTCTACTGCCTTGTAATGTGTTCTACTGCCTTGTAATACATTCTACTACCTTGTCATATGTTCTACTGCCTTGTAATGTGTTTCTACTGCCTTGTAATGCATTCTACTGCCTTGTGATGTGTTCTACTGCCTTGTAATACGTTCTACTGCCTTGCAATGTGTTCTACTACCTTTCAATGCATTCTACTGCCTTGTAATATGTTCAACTGCCTTGTAATACGTTTCTATTGCCTTGTAATCAGAGGTGGGCAGTAGCGCGCTACATGTAGCGGCCGCTACTAGCGGCCGCTGCATTTTCAGTAGCGGTAGCGGTAGCGGCTCTACATTTAAGGCAATGTAGCGGTAGCGGTAGCGCCCGTTACAATCTAGTAATTGTAGCGGTAGCGGTAGCGCCCGCTACATTCAGAGCATGTAGCGGTAGCGGAAGCGGCCGCTACATTTTCAGTAGCGGTAGCGGTAGCGGCGCTACATTTAAGCAATTGTAGCGGTAGCGGTAGCGCCCGCTACATTCAGAGCATGTAGCGGTAGCGGAAGCGGCCGCTACATTTCAAAGTAGCGCTGCCCAGCTCTGTCCAATCTGGTATGTGTTCTACTGCCTTGTAATATGTTCTACCGCCTTGTAATACGTTCTACTGCCTTGTAATACGTTCTACTGCCTTGCAATGTGTTCTACTACCTTTTAAAGCATTCTACTGCCTTGTAATATGTTCAACTGCCTTGAAATACGTTTCTATTGCCTTGTAATACATTTCTACTACCTTGTAATAAGTTTCTACTGCCTTGTAATGCATTTTACTGCGTTGTAATAAGTTTCTACTGCCTTGTAATGCATTTTACTGCCTTGTAATGCATTCTGGTGTCTTTTCATGTGTTCTGCTGCCTTCTAATGCATTCTACTGCCTTTTGATGCAACCCAATGCTTTCTACTGCCTTGTAATGCATTTTACTGCCTTGTAATGCATTCTGGTGTCTTTTCATGTGTTCTGCTGCCTTCTAATGCATTCTACTGCCTTTTGATGCAACCCAATGCCTTCTTGTGGTTTCTGATGTTTTACTGCCTTCTAATGTGTTCTACTGCCTTCTAATGAGTTATAACACCATCTTATGCTACTAAGGTCTTAAATGCAACCTAATGGATTCTTAAACTTTCTAATGTGTTCCCATCCATTTTACCAACTTCTATCAAGTTCTACTGCCTTCTAATGTATTCTATTCTCTGCTACTGCATTATACTGTCTCTTAATGCCTTCTACTGCCTACTAATTAGCCTAATAGACCTGCTGCATTCTAATGCTATCTAGTACGGTCTAGTACATCCTAATGCATATGATACTTTAGTGTATTTTATTCTATTTCAATGTGTTGCCATGCAATGGAGCAATTTTATGCCTGCAATTTTAGATATCAATGTTGTGAACTGAATGGATTGGTGTTGTGAACTCCAAATAATGATGGTTTGTTTTACTTGGATGTGTACATCTTGTACGGTCATGTTCATCCAATGTGGCTGTATTCATGTTGCAATGATGTCTATATAAATATCAGGGAGCAAAATAACTTGATTATATGCTGTTGAATGTTCTTCAATGCACATTAGAATATCCACAATAAAAAAATGTGTACTTAAAGACTTTGGGTTGTTGGTCATACATTCTTTTAAGGTGCACAGTTCACTCCATTCCCTGGCATAGCTTTCAAAATGGAATTCTGGTGTACTCACAGCACCTTCCTGGCTACCACCTGGCACAGGGAAGACATAAAATTATATTTAGATATGATGGGAATATGTTTGAATCAATATTTAAGGCATTCTGTGGTTGTGGAATTAGAAAGTTTTTGACTTAAAAAGCATGGGACAGAGTTTAAACAGGTGCATTAATATGACAAATATCCCATTTCTTCCTGTTAGGCCCTCACTGGCCTTCCATCAGTTTGTTTGATTCTGGGTGGTACCATGGTGCATGGTGGAATTGAAGGATGTGGGCAGTCAGTTGTGTCACCAGCAGCAGAGCACTCCTCACTTCAGGATAGAATAGGGGAGTGCAATATGAATGCCCTCCAAAAGTGGTAAATATGCAGGAGACTGTGATTTTGCTGCTGAAACACTGTAGTGCATTTGCTCAGGGCCTTTGCAACTTTTCCAGGACATATGCTCCAATTTCAGCAGGTGCGCTCCTAAATTGAATAGGTACATGGTCATTAAGAAGGCATTTAGAATGCCAACAAGAGTGGTAACCAGGTGGCAAGTGACAACTACTCCCAAGAGAGTCAAGCACTCCATAATGCAAGGCTTGCAAGCTACTGCAGGTTTGCAGCTTACTTCATGCCACGCACTGCTGCGCATGCTTGCCTTTTTAGTGCATTTTTTCATTTATGGAAAAAATGCACTATTGTGCTCACCATGTCTGTCTGTCCGTGACCTCGAGTTTTCATTGACGAGAAAATGCACTCTCTGTCACTCACTGCAGTGAGTATTGAGTTATATTTTTTACTTATGCATTCATATTTTACACCAAAACATATATTGTAATATAAATTTTCTTAATCAAACCTCTTATGTTGCTCTTGCCCTCCAATGAAAATGAGGGTTCCGTTTGCCAGTTGCCACCATACCTCTCCGTCCTCAAGCAAACTGATTGCCTAACCGCCTGGTAGTTTGATAATTTAACATAAATTTCACCCATCCTGATGCTGCCCATCTTATAAGTACAACAACAAGTCCAAGACATCACAACAATTTTCAAGAATCAATGGAACAAGTTGCCTGTGGCCTGCTAACTGAGTGCTAAAAGGAGA